TCAGCCCTTTAAGCTGGGGTGGTTTTCCTTTTGGGCTGCAGCCTCCCTGGACAGGTGAGCGGCGAGGCAGCCACGAAGTGTGTGTGTGTGTGTGTGTCTCCTTACCTTTAAAGTAAACGTTTCTGAGAGGGCTGGAAAGCATTTGGGTGGTTGTTGTGTGTCTTCGAGTCGTTTCCCCTGACCTATGGAGACCCTGAGGCGACCCTATCACGGGCTTTGTCTTGGCAAGGTTTTGCCGTGGCCTCCTTCCCCCGAGGCTGAGAGAGTGTGACTGCCCGAACCGGGGAAGTTCTTGGTTAATTTTAAAATAACTCATAGGATAAAAAGATGTGTATTAATTGCTGCCAGAAACAAGCATGTTGTTGTTGTTGTTGTTGTTGGCTTTCAAGTCGTTTCCGACTTAGGGGTTTTCTTGGCAAGGTTTCTTCAGAGTAGGTTTGCCTTTGCCTTCCTCTGAGGCTGAGAGAGTGTGAGTTGCCCAAGGTCACCCAGTGGGTTTCCACGGCCGAACCGGGATTCGAACCCTGGTCTCCCAGAGTCCTGGTGTAACACTCAGTCCACAATATTGTAAGGCTATACAGTACTTTTGTTGTTGTTTGTGTCCCTTGAAGTCGTTCTCATCTTCTAGCGACCCTGTCATGGGATTTTCTGGGTAAGGTTTGTTCAGAGAAGGTTTCCCATTACTTTCCTCTGAGGCTGAGAGAGTGTGACTCACCCAGCGACACCCAGTGACTTCCCTGGTCTCCCAGTGTCCTAGTCCAACACTCAAACCACTATGCCATGCCTTTTCCTTATCCTGACCTTTCCATACAGAAGTTCCCACACCAAGAAACAAACACAACATGATGCTCTTGGTCATCCACTATATTGTTGTTGTTGTATCCCTTCAAGTCGCTTCCAACTTAAGGCAACCTAACCCTATCATGGGGTATTCTTGGCAAGGTTTCTTCAGAGGAGGTTTTATCCATGGACATCCTCTAAGGCTGAGAGAGTGTGACTTGCCCAGGGTCACCCAGTAGGTCCACATGGCCGAGCCAGCATTCAAACCTTGATCTCCCAGGGTCCTCGTCCAACAAGACTGAAACCATTCCTCCAGGCTGACTGTTCGTGGGTTTGTGCATAATAATGTGTCAACTCGGGTGAGGGAGCTCCCCTCTTTGGAGGCTGTTGTCAGGGCAAAGCAAGGAAGGGGTGCACCAGTTAATACAAGTATTCCTTGACACGGTTATCTATATTACAGGGATAGAAGGGGAGAGAGAGGATTCTCCCTCCTCCCCAGTGTCGCTGGGTTGTATGGCTGGGACACTCACGCAGGAGAAATAAGGAAATGGAAGCTTGTTTCATTTCCTTGGAGCCAGCAAGGGAGCTGAGCCTGTTTATACAGTGTTGTCTCTCACTGAACACTCATCTAACCCCATCTATCTCCATTGGCATACATTCAGCAGGATTTCTTACTTTTTGTTGTGGGCGAAATTCCTGTCCAGCATGCTACAGAATGGAGTTGACATTCCTACTCCACAGTTAGATTTTCGTTCTAGCTATTATTTTGGAAACAAAAGTTTCTGGCACTTGAGCATCTTTTAAAGAATGCCATAGTTGGCTGGCCTTTTTTGTTTTTAAACTTTGGCATAGACAGTAGAAGAAATATGTTAATTCAACAAATTTTTAAGCACAGCCTATAGAAACCTAGGAAGAGACTAGGAGAGACAAAAGGTAAATGGGGCTCCTAGGACGTTATCACATGGGGGAAATCTGCTGGTTAATCCACACAAATCCCAAACAGAAACTAGATTTGTGCCTCACGATTTCACACGACGTCGCACAGAAACTGGACAGAAACTGGTGTTATCCGAGATCTTTTGAAATTTGGTAGTTTTGAGGAAATGCATTTGCGAAATTACAGTAATTTCGCATTTACCGTAATGTGAAAAGCAAATGTGCATTTGGGAGCATTTTCCTGCTTTTCCCCATGGTTCCACAGCGAGCATTTCTCTATCTGCGCATGTGTATTTCTAGTACATTTACGGGCTTTTCTCACTTGTGTGTGAACCTTAAATGCGCTTACTGTAATTTCGCAATTAAGGTAATTACGTGTGAAAGCCATTTGCGGAATCAAGGTTTATTTTCGGTTTATTTTCGG